ATAAATTCAATGTGATATTTAATTTACATTCTAGTATAAAAGTTAAAAAACAAACCCTTTTCCATGAATTTTTTTAAAAAAACTGAACCAATGGACTAAATTTATGGTGGTCACATGATAACGGCAATCATATGTTTCCCATTGATTAAAAATTGACATACTAGTTGTTCAACATGTAAAATTTCGATAACATTTAAAATTTGATGATTGGGTAAAGAGTTCATGTGTTAAAATTCTTCAAACAGTTTTTAAAATTAAAAAAAGTACTTACATTATACGAATACTTTTAAATTAAGTGCATTTTGTTTAACTATGTGCATTATTATATCGTTGACAAATATGTACTTTCTAAAAGAAAGTTCCTGCAAAAAGCAAAAGTTGGCAACAGTGAAGCACATGAATTAATTGGCTGGAAATGTGTGATTATATTTATGATATTATGATGCTGCAATAATTTATGAACTGATTGGCCAAAAACAAGTGGCTCAGTTATCATGTGACTAATGACGTCACATGAATTTAGTCCATTCAAGTGAAAGTTGATATGAAAGTACTTAAAAGTATAAAAAGTTGATAAAATAAAAATAAAAATGGTACTCACAAACTTGATCATGATTTATGCTCATGAAAGCATGATAGTCCAAAAAGGATGTTGAAGATGGCACTTGTGGAGGCTTTAATATGGGGTATAATTACTCCTGCAGCTTTCACAACAAATTTAAGACTTACTTCCCACGCCTACTCTAAAGTTTTTCTTTAGTTTCGGAGAAGGCTGATGAGCTGCAAATGCTCTTCTAAGAACATCCCAAACATGCTCTATAGAATCTAGGTTGGAGATCTGGTTTGCCTCTCCATCCTTTAAATATCTTGCCTCATGGTATTTGTTGGCCATCCCAATCCTGTGTGTGTGAATGTTTTTCATAAAAAAGAACTTGGTGTCAACTGTCCTTCTGAAAAGCCTCTCTCTGAGGACTCTTAAGATCTTGCTGCAGACCTTTCCACAAATTGCAAAAGCAATAAAGGACAGAAATAAAAGCCCTTAACTACTGGTTCAAATAGGAATTCCTTTTCATCCCAGTTATCTAAGGCATCCATGGAGTAAAAGTAGACAAGTAGGTTGTTGGTTCAAGTAAACACCCCTGCAAAGGTTCCTCAGTGATGATCCAGTAATTGAACTCTAGATGGCAGCACAGCCTACTGAGAGTCTAAGACATTCCCAATAAATCACGGCTAATGATATTCGAACAACAATATATGTGCCAACTAGATCTACTATCTCAACAAGAAACTGCTCACAACGTCAACAGAAAAGCGTTTCAACAACTCTCAAACCTACTGGAAAAGTATAAGCTGGAAAAACAACCATCTCTAAGTATCGCACAGAAAGTCAATTAACAGCAAAGACAACCTTCTTCACTTGGAAGAGAGTATGCAGCAGGCCCTTCTCAGGTCACAAAAACAAGGGACAGGAATAAAGACTGGCCTGAATGGGAATTCCTTTTCATCCCAGTTGCCTAAGACAGTGCATCCCAACCTTTTTATTGCAATGAACCAGTAAGCATTTGATAATTTTACCTCAGCCAGCTAAAGGAGGGGGACATTCATTGCTTATGTTTGAGATTGTTTTGATTTAATAATTTTTACTTAATTGTATATAAACATACCTTCAGAATAAAATAGTTACACCAAAAAATGAATTTAAAGTTATTTGACATGGGATCTAAAAGGATTTCTAAGGAAAATCACACAGACCCGAGAAAATACACTATTGTAAATATAAAAAAAATAAATTTTATCCTACACCCATCTGCAGCATCTCTGCCATTAATCGACGAGCAGCCCAATAAAATGATGACAAAGCAAAAAGAGAAGAATTAAAATTTCCCTCTATAGGGTTGTCTACAAAAAACTTCAGAACAATAGGGCAGTGTCTGAGGTTGTCACACACCATCCATTTCACTCTGATGGCACAGAGGGCAACAAGCAGAATCCTTTACTCCAATGTGATGTAAGTGTTAGGGGGGTGAATTCAGTCACCTTCTCATGGTGCCTCCTGTTTAAACTAAACGACTGATTACTTATCGCCTTATAGTAGCCCTTTTTGATGAAGTATTGTAAATAAAATGGAAATAATGTTCCTTGGGCAGCCCAGTACTATTTGATCCATGAACCGGTACTGGTCCTGAGGTTGGAGACCACTGGTCTAAGGCATCCACAGAGTAAAAGTAGACTTGTAGGTCATTGGTTCAAATAAACACCCTTGTAAAGGATCCTGAATCTCATCCCTATACTAGAGGGCTGTCTAAGTACCTCCATGAAAGATCTGGAGTACTATTCACATACCTGTCGAGACCATGACTTTTCCACCTCCCTAGTGGTCTACTGTATGTCCTTGGAGAAATGGTACCATGTCCTTAGTTCACTTACAAAAACACTTTAAGAGTTCAATGTTTACAGACTGTATCTTGATTTATCTGAAAAAAGAATATTGGTATGTTGCTCCCATATCCAAGGATGATGATGCCTGCGCTATATCAAACAGACTCTCTTGTGACCTTGAATGAGTGGGATGTGAACCATGATTCTTCATATCAAGTCCTGCTTCATTAAATCTTAGATATAATGTACATTATAGGTTAAAATTGAGGTACAAAAAGTAACAGAGAGCTCATTTACGAGTTATATAACTGTCATCCTACTATTATGCCTTGCAGTTAAAGCCAATTAACAATCATCCTGGGTTGTGATTATGGTGGATCTTGTGTGCCCTAAAATGCCTGATTATTGATTTGGCCTCTTGGAACTGGTTCCATGGTTTGCAAAACATAATTTAGGACTCAGTAAGCCAACTTTTTACTTCTGCTTGTTATTGGAAAGCGTTCGATCTCCCAACTGTTATCGTAATTCATCATCCAGATGCTGTTTTTGTGCCATTATTTACAAAAGTTTAAAAAATAATTGTAAGCCACATCAGAAACATGAATAAAATTAAAACCTCACTGAATATTGTTTGAAATAATTGTCTTAAATAAAATAAAAGACAGATATAACTTTTTTATTGGATAGCTAAGAAAATCTCTCCTTATTTTGATATGTTTAATCAATTTTCATTTTTTTAAATATTTGAAAACTTATTTGTTTTTTAACTTCATGGCACATTAGTATGTGTATATATACAACTGTTCTTGTATATTTACAAAAATAAAAATAATTTTAAAAATTGTTTATTAGGTGAAATATGAGAATATTTTCCCATGTCTTACCTACATTCATTTTTATTTTCAGTGTACAAGACCCAGTTCTATTCTTTTTGAATGAAATTTGTTTTATTTATGACACAAGCATAAAACATTATTTATGGCAAGGACATCTTTAAATTTATTTTAGAGAAGGTGAGTATTTTTAAACCTTGATTTTATCTCCAAATTAAAATTTTTAAATTTGTAAAACAACAATGAAATAATGTATTACATAATGAACTTGTTTAAAGGAATGTCAAATTTATATCTAAAATGGTGTAAAAATACTAAAACAAAGAATATTTTTTTTTTTTTTGCAACCTTAAAAATAGATGTACAAATTTAATAACTTTCTAATATTTGAATATCATGTGCTATTATTTCTCATGGTGGGAATTGTTCATACTGAAACACAAACAAACTATGGATTTTAACTTTTTTTACATCTAAGGGGGCTGCAGATTGGTGCTTTACCATTGCAGACGTAGTACATTACCCAAGAGCTGGGATCTCTGTTTAGTGCTGCATCATATAGGTGGAATGCCAATCGCCGCAAGTAATTTTGATGCAGGGAGGCATCTGAACTCTGACGATGTGAAACCATACTTATGAATTTAATTTTGCTAGAGCACCCAAGCCAACCAGACACTCAATGAAACTTTTACATGCCACATAATCATACAACAAATACTGTCAATTTTCTGCATCATGAAAATCCACCAACTTGGGCTAGGGTAGAACCCACAAACTTGGGTGACAAGGCCAGCAACAAACTACACCACCTTGTCGGCATTGTGGATTCAAACTTTTTATAAAAACTTATTTAACAAATAAATTATTCACAAAGAATTTGAATAGATTTTTAGAATGATGCAAAACATCTTTTTATATGCCCAGAACTAGATAAAGAGTCTCAAGAACATGCGAGATAGGCAAACTATACTGGAATGCCAGAACTTTCATGAATTCTTTGTAAAGACTACATCTCTGTTATGTTCTTTTTCTTGTTGTTTAAATTTTAAACTTTTTCTTTTGTTCCCATGTTAATTTATCCTGGTTCTTTCTTTAAATGTTTGTACTTTTTTATTATTTATCACTGTTCTTGTGTGATACTTGAGCTGTTTTATATGTTTGAATTGATCTTTCCAATAAAGCCGTGTATAATAACAATATATTTTTAGAATAAATGAAATTTTATTAAAAGATAATTTGTAAATCATTACCTTTAAAATGAAGTTTTTATGGTATATATTTTAAATACAAAAGGAATTTTTGCTAGTAAGTTTAACATACTTTAATGTAAATTTTAAAAATTATTAAGGGTGTCTCAGTTATTAAAAGAACCAGATAAATCATTTATTTTATAATTATAATATGATCTAATTTATACTTCAATATATAATATTTGATTTTACAATATATTGTACATATCACTTTAAAAATTGTAATATAATAGAAACAAGCAATATTATAAAAATAAAAAAAATTAAGTCAATTCCTACTTAGCTCAACAAAGAAAATTTTTATTTTAGTTACTTTTTATTAAATAATTACAATTAATATAAATATGTATATACATATGACAGAAACATAATATTAAGTGACAAAATAGAAAGCGATTTTCCTTGCACTTTTCCATTTTCCTTTCTATATATGGTTTTGGATTATTATTTTTATTTGTTACTATTTATTCATTAATTAAATTTAATTACTCCAATAAAATAGTATAGCAAAAAGAAATCACATTTTCAAAAATTAAGCCATCCCAGGTGGGATTCGAACCCATGACCTTTGGATTAGAAGTCCGATGTGCTATCCATTGCACTACAGAGACACAACAAGCGATATTCCTTTTTATATATGCTGTTGGACTATTATTTTTTTTGTTACTATTTATTCATTAATTAAACTTAATTAATGAATTAATATTTGAAAAAACTGTATTAACATTGAATGTCATCCACTACAAGTTTAAAAAAATGTATTTGAACTTTAGTGGATGCATTTTATTAACAATTGAAAATTTGAACAAGATATATATATAGGGAGAGTCTAAACATTGTAGGAATTGAAAAATGAACTTGAATTAAGGATTTTTATAGTTAATTTGGTCAAAGTATGAAAAATCAGTATGGCATTTCAAAACTGATCAATATTATTTTTAAAAATGTTTATAATGATACTGTAAAATATTTAATGTTCTTCCCTTATCACAAAGATGTTTTAAAGTCTCCTGCCTCAAAAATTTTTCATTCCCGTATCACAAACAGCTCTAATTTTAAAAAAAATAGTGTTATGTTGTACTGTAAAATAAAAAATTTGAAGAATCCAACTTATAATGAATAGTTTGTTTTATAGGATATTCATACAAAATATAGGAAATGTTACTGTTTATTGGTTTTGCAACCTTATAAATCATATTTAAAAGATAAAATTTGATTATAAATGTGATTACTTTTTAATGCTTTTTCTTCAATATATATATATTAGATAATATTGATTTGTTTATTATATAATTTTTTTATATTAATATTTTTCATTTTAGAATTCAGAAACAATGCATTTTAGTAGGGAAGAACGAAAGGAAGTGTTCAGTTTCTTTAATGATATCTTGAGCACTTACAGTGAGCCAGTATATTATGAAAATTTAAGAGGACATGTTTCAAGAGCATCTGATGTTATTAGACAATATGTTTTAAAAAGGTGTAAAGGGGACAACTTTCTTGAATATTTTCTACATAGAAAAAATTACTTTATTGTTGAACAAGGCTATGTAATATTAAAAAAGAATTTCAATCTAATTTCAAATAAAAATTCATCTTGCAGTCCAAAAAACAAATGCAAAGGTAAGATTTTTAAAAGGAGCTCTTCTCTAACTTCTAATCAAAGTTTCAGCTCAGCTCTATCAAGAAAGAGTTCAATTGTGGATGGGAAGAGGGAATATGAAAATATTGCTATAAATTACTTTAAAAACCGACTTATACGAAAGAAAAAAGAACGACTGTCATCGTTGGAGAGAGGTGAACTCCCTAAAAAAGTCAAGAGACATATCCAAAATTATTATAAAAATAAAGTAAATGCATTTCTTTCTGACTTCCCTGACAAATTCAACATTGATGAAAATGAAATTGTTTCACTTGTTACTCGTACTCTGTTAGAAACCTATCCTGGGACTACAAAAAACGAAAGGGGTAGTGTCATTATTGATTCTGAAATTTTAGAAGCATTACATTATTTAGAATGCATTACATATTTTGCAAAAGTCCTTAAGACATTGCCGCAACCTTTTCCAATTGAAAAATTAGGTGGTTGTTTTTCACAAGCTAGCAAAGAAGTCAAAGAACATATAAAATGTAATTATAGAAATTTCAAGTGTTTTTTCGATGATCCTACTTTGATATTTCAAAAAAATAAGTCTGAAAGGGTCTCTCTTTCTAAAGACTATGAAAGACTAATGAAGAAAGCTGAAAAAATTATTAGAGATGCTGAAAAGGAATTGCAAAAAAATGACCATTCAAAACCTGTAATTACACTCAAATCTCGCATCAATTTTATTTTACAACCACAAATAACACCACTATATTCTCCCACTTGCTTTGAGCAGAGACAGACAAGTATAAATACAATTTCTTCAAATGAGGAAGTTTTGTCACATGATGAAATGCTAGATGTTCGGGAAGTATTTGATGAAATTTTGAAGTCAAAAAATCATATCAAAGCAGAAACTAAAAAACTGACTGAAATATTATCTGACAAACTTCTAAATGGTAAAGAAATTCCGTGTCTCTGTGACACTAACATCAGTAATGCTGATATCCAAAAGTCTGGTCATGTTGAAGACATACTTCTTAGATGTATATTTACAGTAGAACTTTATTGTTTAGAATTCATTGAAAAAGAAATTGAATATATTGAAAAATATGAACCTGAAGCTGTGAAATATTTTATGGAAATACTAGACTCTCAATCGACCAGAATTTGGACTTTGACTAGTTTACACGGTACTCTGGGACATAATCGGGAAATAGCTCATTTTATGAAAAAAGTGTATAAAGGAGAGAAGTTTTGTTCTTTTTTTCAGAAATATCGACAGTTTTCGATTAAAAATACTTATATTTCTTTAACATCAAGGAATGAAACAGACTGTCCTGGGAGTTTCAATTCACTTTCACTTCATTCAAAAACAAAAAATAAGTCATCTTTGAATGACACATATGAATCATCTGATTTTAAAGAACTAATAAGAAGTACTTTTGCTTTTCTCCATGAAACATGCCTATTATTAAGAAATAAAACTGAAGCAAAAATTCTACATTACTTGAAATTCTCTCGCAATACAAATGTTGCATAAATATGATAACATCTGCGAAAGGAGAATCATTAATTGAAAAACTTGAAAAGTTTTTGGATTTGGTTGGAATTTTTAATTTTCCTAATAAAGGAACTCTGTCATTTTCTCATAATTATTATGAAAATAACAGTAGTCTATTATTAACATGGTTTGAAAAAAATTTTAATCAATTTAAAGGTTCAGCTATTGAATTCATGAATTTTTCTCATTTTTTAGAACAAAATTTCAACATCAATCAAATGTCAAACAGCATAAACCTGAGCAATAATAGTACTTCCTGTTTAAGTGAATGCTTAAAGGAATCTATAGATATTATTAAAAATGCAATTGCAAATGATGAAGAAATTCACTATTTTGAGGTACTTAAAATGATACCAGTATCTGTTCTTCAAGCAATAACAGACACTAAGAATGATTCTAGATTCATAATAAATACTCTGCAGGAAAGCGGACAATTTGTTTTAAAAAGTGGTATGATAGGCATTTATTGCAAATCTGTTGATTTGGAAAATTATAATGTAGAAAATATTTCAGTTCCCACTGATACTATAAATAAAGATAAAGTTAAAATTGCTAATGGATCTGGTATTTCCAAAGAATTATTCTCTCAGCAAAATGTTATGAATGGTATTGATTCAGTTGATGGTTCATTTCCTCAGTGTAGTATTACTAAAACAGCTTCTTCTGATAAATGTGTGGAGGAATTACAGTGTGAGTTTGAACAGTTTTCAGAAATATTGCAAACAGGAATGGATTATGAAAATCATGTTGGTGAAAATGAAAATTTTATTACCATTGAAAAAGACAAAGAGACTACTTCTGAAAATACAATAAAATATAATTTAAATGACATCCCAGATACGTTACACATGCAACCAGCCAGTGAAAACTCTGCACATAGTGAACATTCATATTCAGAAAAAGTTACTGAATCAGATTTGTCTATAGAAGATGAAAAAACAAATTTAAATCATCTGAGTACATATAATTCAGTTGAAAACATTCTTGGAGATAATTTATCTGGAGTTATTAAGGAAGATGTGAGAGCAAACAAAGAAAGTATTAATTTAGATTTTGCAAAGAAAAATCTCAATATTGATGAAATACTGATGAATGATAAAAATTTTAATTTAGATAAGGAATCTGAAGATCTGACTGTCTGTGGGAAACAATCGAATGTTATATATAAATTTAAAAGTGATTTGCTACATTCATTTTCAGATTTGAATGAAGAAAATGATGAAGAAATCATAAACATATCAAATGAATATGTTATTCCTAATGATATAGAGTGTGTAGAAAAATCGCCTGTTTCTCCTACATCTGAAAACTTTTTACCTAATAAACATGAAACATATTCAAATCAAGATTTATGTTTCTCCCCTATTTGTGAAGATATGAAGTTCAATAAATCTGAAGTACAATTAAATGAAAGTGAAATAGTTGGAACTGCAATGAATGCTGAAGATTCAGATGAGAGTGTTGCAAAAATTATTGAAATGCCAATTGATTTAAATGTAAGTTATGATGAAAAAGGCAAAGATATTAGTGTATCAATTATGCCTGTAAACCTCTTTTCTGAATTAACTACTATTAAATCTGAAGATATGTGTGAAGAGTATGTAAAATATAATGAAATTCAAAATAATATCTCCTTACAATCAACAAACAGTGATCTATTCAAAGACAGTAAAAATAAATTCTCAACAGTATTTAACAATACTTATAAAACTTCTAAAATCTCAAAGGAAAAATATTTTCAAGTAAATGTACCTGAAATATTAGATTTTGATATAGCTGATAATCAATCTCAATTTGAAGGATCTCTTACAACTGCTACAGATATTTCAACTTCTGAAAATTGCAATGCTGACCAAGTTTTAAATGCAGCTAATGCTAATGTAATTCTTGATACTAAAAAATCACATATTTGTGCATCTGAAAAATTCTCTGTAACTTCTTCATACTCAAATGATTTAAATATTGAAATTCCAACAGAAAAAAATGGTGAAGTCGACCAACACTTTGAGACATTGCAGGAATTGTTATCTAAAACAGAAACTTATAAATCCTCCACAAAACTACCTGATTCATTTAAAATTCTCAAAAATTCAACAATTTGCAAGTTAAACGATAATGAAGAATCAATTAGTTATCCAATGCAGCCTATTGCAGCTAAAATTATAATTTTATCAAATGAATCCTGTATAGCAGTTTCTGAAATAAATCAGCGTACCCAAAGTATATATTTCCGTAAATGTGTTTTTCAGTGTGATCATCAAGATGACTGTTCAGATTGTTTTAATTCCTTAAAAATAGGCGATAAAATATCTTGCTTTGTTCCTCTAGTAGAAATATCTCACAAAATATGGATTGCATTCCTGGTGTCAAAAGATAGTACTGAAAATTTTGTTGAATTTGATGTTAATAAAAGTTTGCAATATGATGGTAAAATGTTTTCTTATCCATCCAATAATTTTAAA